TAGGAATGTTGCATTTGACGCCTTTAAAACTACCTTTTTGCTGTTTGGAGTTGGGGGCATAATCCTTTGAGGCTGCTCTGCCTCTCCGGGTGTCAGGTGTCACTTCAGCTAAGACCCAGAGGCTTGTGTCCTGGGTCCCCTATAGGCAGGCCCAGCAGACATGAGTCACCGTCCCATAAAGGCCTCTGTCTCTGCTTTTCTACTTGCACGCAGGTTTGCTGCCCCCCACCCCCCCAACTCGGGCACCTTTGTCAGCTGTGTGAGTGTCGCAGACCTGTCCAGAGCTTCAGTTTACTCTTTCCAAACTGTGGCATTGCACTTCTAGAACCTTAAATATCTATAATGGTTGGGTCCTCCGAACCACCCCAAAGACCATTATGTGGCAAGCTCCACTTTGGGCTGGCGTGAAGCCCAGTTGCGTGTGATCTCATTTATTGCCCCCTTGGTGGTCCCCGATGACCCACCCATCCCCCTCACTTCTTTGCCCAGATGCTTCAGGGGCTCAACTTTTCAGGCTTGCCCTCACCAGCGGTCATCAGCCGACACTCAGGGATGTAGCAAACCACCACTCTGCCAGTGCTCTCGGTAGGAAAAACAAAGAGGCTGCCTGGGACACCTGGGGTGACAGTAAAGAAAACTCTCTTGATTTCTGAAAGGAGAATCTGCCACTAGATGGAATTTTGACCCCTAAGCTTGCTCAGCCGTATGGTCCAAATTCAGGTTAGGTGGTCATCAAATCTGAGATGTCAGGAACGGCCTTCTGCAGAGAAAATGCCCTGCCCCTGCCCCATCTGCAGCCAGGTATGTGCCGCACGGCAGCCTTCCTGAAACATAGTATGAATTTTTAAAATTTGTTTATTTTTGTTTCTCAACCACTTTATAATGTATTTTTTAATTTATTTTGTAATGTCTTGTTTTTAAGTATTGCTGCTATCCTGTTATTCTTCCCACTGTTTTTATTGCTGATTTATTTTGTGAAAGTTGTACACTAATGTTCTGTTTTATGTCAAAATCAAAAGTATTTAAAGAAATACTAGTTCTATTTAATGTGGTTATGGAACCAGCTGGAAACACAAAAACAAAAAGTGATTGTACAGCAGGCTGGACCCAGGAGGTCAGGTTCATTTTGTTACATATGCAATAAACTCACAACTTTACATTTTTGGCGTCTGTGATTTTGATGCGGAAATGAGATTCTGATTTCTTTGCCATTCCATAAGAAAGGAAGTCAACAGTCAGAACTACAGATAAGAGCCTTTAAGGAAAAAAGGATAAACTTAAAGATAGAATTATAGGAGAAACTAATGAAAATATGGTAGCCAGGTGAAAGTGCTCTAGCAAGCATGAACTTGTGGGATGAGGGTGGTTTATAATCTGTTGATTATCTTTGCACACCGGTCATGTTTAGTTGTTGTTGTTGTTGTTTTATTTTTTTACATTTTTAAAATCATGGTAAAATGTTTATCAACTATTAAATTTACAATCCAGTGGTGTTTACATTTGCAATGTTGTATAACTATACCACTAGCTACACCCAAAACCCCTGCATGAAGTTTAGAACCACTAACCAGCTCCAATTCCCACTCTCCCCAGCCCTTGGTAACCTCCACTTTGCTTTCCGTCTCAATGAATTTGCCTCCTCTAGGGACCATATGTAAGTGGAAACGTACCGTATTTGTCCTCCTGTGTCTGGTTTATTTCACTTGGCAAAATATCCCTAAGGATCCACCCACATTGTAGCATGTGTCAGAATCACACTCCTTTTTAAGGATTAATAATCCATTATATCACATCTTGGTACTCCATTCATCTGTTGGTGGATGCTTACTTGGTGTGATGGTTAATTTTCTATGTCAACTTGGCTGGCCCATGGTCCCGGACAGTTTTTGGTGAAAAGCAGTCTAGATATTGCTGAAGATGGTTTCTGAGATGACATTAATATTTAAATCAGGTTTTTGAGCTAATCACTTACCCTCTATAATGTGCATGGGCCTCATCTAATCAGTTCGAGTCCTTAAGAGAAAAGACGGAGGTCCCTCAAGTTAGAAGAAATTCTGGCTCCAGACTGCCTTTGTACTCGAGACTGCAACATCAAGTCTTTCCTGGGTTTTAAGCCTGCCCTGCAGATTTTGAACTTAAAAGCCCCCAACGTCACGTAAGTCAACTTTCATAGTAAATGTTTTACTCTCTCCCTCTCTGTGTTTACATACATATACACTCATCCTTTTGGTTCTGCTTTTCTGGAGCATGCTAATATACTTTGGTTGCTTCAATGTTTTGGCTATTGTGAATGAAACTGCTGTGAACACAGCTGTACAGTTATCTGTTCTTAGTCCCTGCTGTCAGTTTCTTTGTAGGAAAGAAATTGTTTGGTCATATGATAGTTCTATGTTTAACTTTATAAAAAAAGTTTGTTTTTAAAAAAATTTTCTATAGGGCATTTGCACTTGCAGGAGACAGACAGAGAAAGAGAGAGAAAGTGAGAAAGCATCCTCCCCTCCAGGGATAACCATGCTGCAATCCCTTCTTCTCCAATCTCCTCTTGGGATTTTTACATCCATGACACATGCCTGGTATGTTTTTCAAGCAGCTGGGTCTGAGACTCGAACTGCACAGTCACCTGTGTGGGATCCAGCTGCCTTAACCACCATGCCACCTACCTGGTCCATTGTTTAACTTTGAGGAACTGCCAAACTGTATTCCACAGCAACTGCATTAATTTATATTTTTACCAGAGATACAGAAGGATTCCTTGCCAATACTTGTTATTTTCTATTTGTTTTTTTTTAATAGTAGCCATCTAAGCATCTCATTGTAGTTTTGACTTCCGTATCCTTAATGAGGTTGAGCATATATTCATGTGTTTATTGGCCATTTATATGTCTTCTATGGAGAAATGACTTTTTTTCTTTGTGCATTTTGGGTTTTTATTGTTGCATTATAAAAGTTCTTTATAAATTCTAGATAATATATCCCATATTAGATATGATTTATAAATATTTTCCACTATTTCAGGTTTCCTTTTCATACTTTCCATAGTATCCTTTGATGCAGAAAAGTTCTTAATTTTGGTGAAATAATTTATATATATTTTTTCTCTTGTTTGCTTGTGATTTTTGGTGTCGTTTCAAAAAAAAAAAAAAACACTGCCAAATCTAATGTAAAAATTTTCTTTCCTTAATGTTTTCTTCCAAAAGTTTTATATTTAGCTCTTCAGTGTAGGTCTTTGTGCATTTATTTTTGTATATGGTATAAGGTTAAAGGTTCAACTTCATTGTTTTGCATGCGGGTATCTAATTTTCCCTGTGTCAGATACTGAAAAGAATCCCTTTTCCATTGAATGATCATGGCACACTTGACCATATATACAAGGGTTTATTTCTTGTTTTTCTGTATGTCTGTCCTCATGCCTGTACCGTACTGTTTATTTTTCCCCTCCCAAACATGTATTTTTATTTATTAGTGATTTTTCAGTCAGTTGGACCCAGGATGTGAACCATGGTCGGCCATATGGAGGTCCAGCACCTCAACCACCATGCCACCTGCTGACCCAGTACCAGACTGGATTTTTATTTTCCCCCAAAGAATTATTTATTTAAATTAATTAATTATTATTATTTTTAATGCACCAGAGACAGACGGGGGTCGGGGGAGACAGTGAGGAAACAAGCTGCCAGGTCTAGGACTCAAACTATGATAGGCCATATAGGAGTCCACAGCCCTAACCACCATGCCACCTACTGTCCTCCACTATACTGTTTTAATTGCCATAGGTTTGTAATAATTTTTGAGGTCAGGAAGCATGTCTTTTGAGTTCTAGTCTTCAAGACTGTTCATTGTTCTCTGGGGTCTCTTGCAATTCCATATGAATTTAAGAAAATTGGCTTGGTTCCTTTATCTTTTCCTCTCTCCTTCTGATATCACCATGATGTGTACATATATTGGCTTTCTTGATGGTGTTCTGCAGGTTTTCAGGTTCTGCTTACTTCATTCTTTTTGTTCTACAGACTTCAGTAATTTCAAGGTAATGAGTTTATCTTCTATCTAATTGTTTTTGAACCCCTTAGGGAACGTTTTATTTCAGTTACTGTATTTTTCAGCTCCAGGAATTTTTTTTTTTTTAAAAATTTTTAGAGATTTTTATTATAGGGTGCATGTGCTTGCCTGACAGACAGGAAGATGGCCATGCCGTAATCTCTTCTCCTCCATTCTCCTCTTGGGATTTTGGGCACGCACACACACGCACCCAACAAGAGTTTTAAGCCATCCGCCCAGGACTGGAACCACAGTGGGC